GGGTAGGGCCATGCTGCAATCCCTTCTCCTCCAGTCTCCTTTCAGAATATTAGGCAAACACTTGCAACCAATGTGAGTCCCAAGCCACCAGGTCTGGGACTCAAGCCACAGTCAACTACGTGGGAGTCCAGTGACATAACCATTACACCATTTGGTCCCTAAATAAATAAACATGTGAGTCCCAAGACGCCACGTCTGGGACTTGAACCACAGTCAACTACACGGGAGTCCGGTGACATAATCATTATACCATTCGGTCCCTAAACAAATAAACTTTTTAAAAAGGACATTTTGTGAACAACTGGGGAACTCTGAATAATGACTACGTATTTGATTATTTTTTTTTTTGAAGGAGATTTTTGCTATGGGACACGTGCATTCATTGGAGAGATAGAGAGACAGAAAGCAAGAAATCACTCCCCATTGGGGCCAGCAGTTAGCATAATGGCTATGTTGCTGGACTCCCATGTAGTCGACTGTGGTTCGCATCCTGGACCCAGTGGCTTAAAATTCATGTCGGGTGCATGTGCGTGTGTGCCCAAGATCCCAAGAGGAAAATGGAGAAGAAGGGATTGTAGCGTGGCCATCCCCCACTGAGGGGGTGATTTCTCGCTTTCTATCTCTCTGTCTGTCTCTGTCTGTCTGGCGAGTGCACGCGCCCTATAGCAAAAAAAAAAAAATCTCAAAAAAAAAAGAAATAACTCACTGGGGAGATGGCCACGCCACAATCCCTTCTCTTCCAGTCTCCTCTTGGGATCTGGGGCATGTACACACACACACACAGCATGAGTTTTAAGATGCCAGGTCTGGGACTGGAACCGCAGTCGACTATGTAACCAGAAATGTAACCATTACACCATTTGCTGGTCCCAGTATTTGATTTTATTAATAAATTGTTAACTTCAGGGGCCGGCAGGTGGCAGGGTGGTTAAGGGTGCTGGACTCCCACATCACTGACCATGGTTTGAGACCCAGACCTGGAGGCTTGCTTTCTCACTTTCCCTCTCTCTCCCCAATCACCCTCTCACTTCTGTTCTTGCTCTGTCCCTCTCTGATCAAATCAAAATAAATAAAGTTTAAAAAAAGGTTTTTTTTTTTTTAGAGAGTTTTGTTATAGGGAGCATGCACTAGCCAGAAAGACAGAGACAGAGAGACAGAGAGACAGAAAGCGAGAAATCACCCCCCCTCCCCCCCCCCGGGAGGATGGACATGCTGCAATTCCTTCTCCTCCATTCTCCTCTTGGGATCTTGGGCACACACGCACACGCGTCCTGCGTGAGTTTAAGCCACTGGATCCGGGACTCAAACCACAGTCGACTCCATGAGAGTCCAGCGACACAGCCCTTACGCTCACCCCAAAAAATTATTTTAAAAAAAAAGAAAAAAATTATTAATTTCTTTTTTTTTCTTTTTGTGAAGAGGTTTTTTGTCATTGTGGTACTTACATTTATTTATATTTAATTGTCATATATCTTATGCCATATAATATAGTTTTTCAAAACATGTATGTAGTGTGTGATAATCAAATCAAGGGTATTATTATATACTTCAATTTCAATAGAGACCCTTATATTCTTGTGTCTGTTAAATGCTTTTCTGCAGAACCCCTTCCATTCCCCCACTAGCTACTACCCTTTCATACAGTCTCTGTTATCTACACTTGTCCTCCCTACTATTACGTCTTAGAATCTTCCAATTTCTGTCACAGAGTACAGACATGTGATATATATTGAGTGAAGACATATCGTATTTGTCCTTCATAGTCTGGCTTATTTCACTTAGCATTTAATCTAGATTCATCCATTTTTGAATCAAATGACCATCTTGCTGTTCTTTATGGTCTAGTATTATTCCACTGTATACATATGTTATGTATTTTTAATCAGTTATTGAGCACTTAGGTTGATTCCATGTCTTAACCGTGAATAATGATCCAATAAACATAGATGTGAAGGTGTATTTCTGACTTAGTGTCTTCTTATCTTTTAGGTAAATACCAAGGATTGAGATTACTGGTCATATGGTAGTTCTATTTGTACATTTTAAGGAATGTCCTTTTTGTTTCCCCTACAGTGACTATAATACTTTACATTCCCACCAGCATTTCCCTCTTTCATCTGATTGCATTGGCTAGGACTTCTAATACTAAGCTGAAAAGAAGTGGAGAAAGTGAAGAGTCTTGCCTTGTTTCAGTTTTAGTGGAAAAGTGGAAAGTTTTTTCTCATACAGAATGATGTTAGCTATTGGTTTGTCATACATAGCTTTAATTGTGTTAAGAAATCAATCTTTTATACCTATTTTGTTGAGAGTCTTTAGTCATGAACGGATGTTGTATTTTATCCAATATTTTTTCTGCATCAATTGATATGATCATGTGGTTTATCTTTCCTTATGTTAATATGATGTTTTGCATATGTTGAACCATCTTTGCATTCCTGTAATACAGCCCTATTTGGCCATGATGTATAATCTTTTTAATGTATTTCTGGACTCAACTTGCTAGTATTTTATTGAGGAGTCTTGCATATGTATTCATCAGGGATATTGGTCCACAGTTTTCATTTTTTGTTATGTCCTTGTCCGCTTTTGGTATCAAGGTGATGGAGATTTTATAGAATGAGTTTGGGAAGGTTCTTTCCATTTGGGTATTTTGAAATATTTTTCCATGCAAAAATGTGTCATTACTTTCCCGATGAGGAGATTTAGAATTAATTCTTCTCTAAAAGTTTTCTAGAATTCAAAAGTGAGACTACCTGGATCAGGATTTTCCCTTGTTGGGAAACTATTTATAATTGATTGATCTCATTGTTATTAGTCTATTCAGGCTTTCTATTTCTTTCTGATTCAATCAAGGAATATTGTATGTATTCAGAAATTTTTCCATGTCATCTAAGTTTTCTACAAAAGCTTATTGGCATCAAGTTACTCATAGTAGTTATTTGTGTTTTTGTAATATCCATTTCAATATTGCCTGTTTCATTATCAATTTTATTTATCTGGTTCATTTCTATTTTTCTTTGTTAGTCTAGCTAACCAGATAAATAAAATTGATAATGAAACAGGCATTTCATCTAAGTTTTCTACAAAAGCTTATCAGCATAAAGGTGCTCTGAAGAAAAAGGGTTAGGATTACAGCATAAGTAAACCTCATTGGAAGGTCCTTACTCTCACTGTCTCACTCTCTCTAATGCATGTGCATGTGCCCTCTGGCATAAAATAAATAAATGAATGAAGATAGGGTAGAGGAAGGTCAACTAGAAAAGGATACTAAAAAGTTAAATATTAGTGGCTGGGTGGGTTTGACAGGTGGTTAAGGGAGCTAAACTCCCACATGGCTGACTGTGGTTCAAGTCCCAAACCTGGCACCTCTCTCTCTCTCTCTCTCTCTCTCAGTGTGTGTGTGTGTGTCTCTCTCTGGTCAAAATTAAAAAATAATGATAATAAATAATTCTTTAAAAAATTATGTATCAATGGTTGGGAAGAGACCTAAGAGAAGAACTGAATCAGGGAAATCAGGAAGAAAGTTTCCAAATAATAATAACCACTGTGTACTCTTCTTACAGTCCCCAAATTTCAAATCAAATAAGAAAAAAGCATTATTTTTAACAGAATAATTTAAAAATGAAAGAAATGATAATATTCATTTTATCTAAGATACACATTTTTTCCCAAACGACTGAAAAAAATAATACATACACCCACTGGTACCAACTAAACTGACATCCACCTAGTCTACCACAGTGGAAGATACAGTAAGCATCAAGTGGTAGAACAGCTATAAAAAGAATCAATAAGACACTGACACTGGCCATAAGAGTTCTCTGGAGAAGAGTCACTAAATTATAAGCTCAATAGAGATAGACAGTGGGCAAGCCCAGTTCCTCCTTATATACCCAGATTCTTTTTTCTTTTTTTTTTTTTTTTTTTTGAGAGGTTTTTTTTTGCTATAGGGCGCTTGCACTCGCCAGACAGACAGAGAGAGACAGAGAGACAGAAAGAGAGAAATCACCCCTCGGGGGGGCTGGCCACGCCTCAATCCCTTCTCCTCCGTTCTCCTCTCGGGATCTTGGGCACGCACGCACACGCACCCACCCGGCATGAGTTTTAAGCCACCGGGTCCAGGACGTGAACCGCGGTCGACAACATGGGAGTCCAGCAACATAGCCCTTACACTAATTGCTGGTCCCGATATATACCCAGATTCTAACATGCCTGGCACCATGCTTCTATATCTAGAGTCCCAGTGGGCAGGGGCACATGGCCTTTGAGCCACAGTCATAGATTAGAGCAATCAGGTGAACCCAGAGTCCTTTCTAATTAGAGGGATAAATAACAGCCTTCCATTTCATATACGAGACTGAATAACTTAGTTCCAAGTGTGTATTTTTGCATTGCTGCTCTCACAAAGAGTGGATAGCTTTTTATAACTGTTCTCTACTACTATGAAGAGTTTACTGTTATCCATTGTTTTGGGGGAAAAAAAAAACTTTATCTCTTTCAATAATTTATTAACAAAATGAATGTAAAACAAAATGTAAATGCAGATATATATATTTTAAGCTACCATTACTTTGATCGTCTATTACTCACTCTCTTGATTTGCAATACATTGAAGTTAAAGATATAATTCTGTTTTCAGGGCAAAGTCCCATTTACTGTGAATTTCTACACTTACATCACAAATACTCAATATCATCTTAATCAATAAAATGTTTAAATAAGTTTCTCTTTGTTTTCCATAGACCAAGAATAGAAAAAGGAATCATTCCCAGCCTCTCGGTAGCACATATATTACTTTATTATTTCCAAGTATATTCTAAAATTCTAAAAACTGGAAAAAATTTCAGCTTGAGGTTTTTATAAGCAATTATTGTTTGTTTATTTGCCAGCTCAAGATTTTAAAAATGCAATCACTTTGATTTAATCCAGAATTTAAAGAGCATAAGGGTGATAAATTCTAAAATGTCTGTGAATCAGATAGTAAAAAGTTAAGGACTTACATTCGAGCTGTGCAACCACATCTCCAGGATCCACTGCTTCAGGGAACACCTACAGAAGGGCAGGAGGAAGCAGGATGGGGAAGAGGAAGGGAAAAGAAGATATTAATTAGACCATCTTTCTTTTCTCCCTTTCATTCCCAAAATATCATTCACCAACCTAAGAAACTTCTTATATTATTGGGAATTGTCTCTTCCTCTCTGCTTCCCATAATCACTACGAAAGACTGTACTAATAAACAAACTTTACTGCCCGCTCTGTGTCTCTCTAGCTTCATCTGCTAGCTCTCCTCCCCTTGTTACCATGATCATACTGGACTTCTTGGTGTTCCCCCAACTGTGAAGCTTATTTACAATAAGGTCTTTATTTTTCTATTCTTCTACTTCTAAACCTACAAATAACTGAAACTGTCTCATAATTCAGGCTCACTGAAAAGTCATTGCCTTCTGGGACCAGCAGTTAGCGTAATGGCTATGTTGCTGGACTCCCATGTAGTCGACTGTGGTTCGCGTCCCGGACCTGGAGGCTTAAACTCACGCTGGGTACGTGTGCGTGCATGCCCAAGATCCCAAGAGGAGAATGGAGGAGAAGGGATTTCGGCATGGCCATCCCCCCTGGGGGGTGATTTCTCACTTTCTGTCTCTCTGTCTCTCTCTGTCTGTCTGGCGAGCACACGCACCCTATAGCAAAAATCTCTCCAAAAAAAAAAAAAAAAAAAGTAAAAATAAAAATAAAAGTCATTGCCTTTTCTGACCATCCTGGACAACTCCCCTAGCCCCTCCCTTTATACTCTTCATGTTCTTATCACTATCTAATATTAATCACAGACTATTTAGTTCTTGTCTCTTTCTCCTTGTACAAAGAAAGCTCTGAGAAGGGAGGATTTGGCCTTGTTTACCATGTATCTTCAATGCTTAAACAGTCCATGGAATAGAGCAGGTATTGGCTACTTATTTGGGGGGGGGCAAAAAAAAGGATAAAGGAAGGAGGCAGGAAGGCAAAAAGGGAGGGGAAGAGGATAAAGGAAGTAGGG